ATAATATAATAAATTTATAAAACAATAAAATAAGTTTTAGCATATTTCAGTTTATAAGTTTCGAAATCAGGTTTCAGATTTTGGGTTTCAGAAAAATAAATGCATTTTCAAAATTAGGTTTTGTTATATACCAAAACCTAAAGAGTTTCAGGAGGTTTCGGTTTCGATACCTATATTTAGTCAGATTGCTTTTTCATCATAATTTTAATCATCTTGACGATGATAATTATTGTATTAGAAAATATTACTATTATTCTGATTCTGATTATAATAATTTTGATCTTCTATATTATATAAATTATATATCTTCTTATTCACTAATGGAGTTAACATAAGTCTCAATTTACTTTCTCTCTCTATGTATATAGCGTCTGTTAGTTCTTATATTTTACTTATATATTATAAATTTCTAAATAGTAATTAATGCTAAGTATTCAACACATTATTTGCTGTTGCCACTTGATAATGATTAGAAAGTGATAAATTTATTAAAGCAGCATTATCATAAGCATTTCTAAAAGAATTAACACAAGGTGTCCTAACTGCAATAAACAATAAAAAATTAACAAATTAATCAGATAATTTTCATAGTAAAATAGATATTCGACAAAATATAGTATTTCTACCTAATGATTTTGTGAAAATTTCCAGTATCTATCTTTATTAAATATCTTTGATTTAATTCTGATATCTTTTTGATTAGCTGAATTGATTAAACTAGTTGAACTTAATGGGTTATTGTAATATTAGTTTTGATAAGAACTTTTAATAATACTCAGTTTACTAAAATAATTTAAACAATGGTTATATGACTTTAATATTTATTAAAAAGATAAATTTAATTTCCCTCACTTCAAAAAATCATTTTTCCTTTAACAAATTAGATAATATATTTTATTCTTTTATAAAGGAAAATGATTTAATTATAATAATTTTCTTAGTAAAAAAAAAATTTAATAAAGATTAATCAGTAAAAATAAGAGAATCTGTCATAAAATATATATTGCAACTGGTTCCTTACTTTGAACTCTTGATGTAACTTATCAATTATAATTTGTTTGGCTAAGAATATTGTTTAATTTTCAATATTTTGTTCATTAAGAATAAGAAAATATCAAACGTGTTGAAATTATATAAAAAAATTAAAAACTGATATTAAATATATAATTATTTAAATTGCTCACCATTAGAAAGTACTTATTAATACGTGATTCTTTAAAATATTCTTTTGTTATTATTATTATTCATTTTGAAAAAATATTTTATGAAAAAACATGTAAGTTTAATAAAAAAAATGTAGTTAATATATATATATAAATATATATAAATATAAAACGTAAATCAAAGCCTATTGAAAATTTCTTTTTCAGAGGTCTAGGTTAATTATAGAGCAAATATAATTTATTATTATTTTTAATAAAAACTTACATTGATTATTCATTTAAATTTTTTTTTGCATTTTAATAATTTCAATTTTCAATTTTTAATTTTTAATTTGTATATATAATGTGTTGTAAAAAAAACCAGAATTACTATTTTTGTATTTATTTGATAAATATCTATTCAAATGATACAAAAGTTTAAAGATATTTACTTAAAAATCTAATAAAAAAATTTAATTAGAATCACTAGATAGCTTATCTTAATAAAATATTTTGTAATTTACATTTTAAATACAAAATTTTTTTTAAAAAAGTTTATTATAAAATCAAAAATATTTTATTTATTAATTAATAATTTAATATATTATAAACATTAAAATTAAAATATATTATAATATAAAATATAAATTTCTTTAAATTAATTTATATATTAACTAATTATAATTTTTCTTAAAATATTTTTATTACTAAATTTTCTTAATTAAAAAATTGACAATTATGAAATATTTTATTATGATAAGTGGTCAAATGACTCTAAGTAAAGTTGTTTGTATCAAAATTTTACATATATTTTTAAATTTATATATAATTTAAATAAATACTTATAGGGAAAATTAAAAATTCCGTTTTTTTTGTAACACACTGTATATCCCGATCTACAGATTGCTAACTTTAAGCCGGTTCGATCCCGTGACTCGCAAAAATATTTGTCAAAGTATTCTGGGGACTTAATTTTTTCGGTATGTGATTTCTTATTTTGTCACAATTTATTAGTCACCCGGCTTTAGCCACCTCCAAATAGGTATAGCACATTAAAGGTTAAACACAAGATGAACAAATCATGAGAAAATAATAAAGTTTGATTAAAATGGTTAACCATTGATTGAAATGAGTTTCATAAATTTGGAAACATTAAAATCATTCTGATCATACTTTTATGTGAATTTTATTATATTTTTGGGGCTTTCTCTTTAGTATTGTTTATAACAGGTCCAAATAACAGGTCCAAATATTTTGAAAACTTGATTCTTTATTTGGTTTAAGATTTTATTGATTGGAATGATCATTTCGATCATGTTTCTATGTGAATTTAATTACTGATCGAGTTATAGAAAAATTTCCTTATAAATATTATCAATATTCTGCCCCAAAAATTGTGGATAAGGTCTCCTTCTCCAGCTTTTCAATCACATTATATAATCGCCTTTCAGAACCTAAAAAAACACCAAAAATGTGAAATCACTTTGCTCGACCATTTCTACGTAAATGGGACCGAAAAACGGTCATCGCGCTACAGAACTCTTACGCTCTTACCGTTTACAAAAACCAAGGCTTGATTCTGTTAGCTCTTGACGACAGTATATTCTTCCAAACAAGACTATTTCTTTCTCAGCAGGTCGAAAACGTGAACATATTTACAGTAAAATTCAACGAGGATCTTCCTGAAGAAAAAGATTCACACCTCGATATACGCGTGGGAAAACGGCAAATTCTGTCGTATCGGAAGTTATTCTCGCCGTTTATATTTATGGCAGAAAACTGGCAAAGAAAACTCTTTCTCCTTTTCTTACAAGAAATTCAACACACTAAAAAAATGAATTCACTTGAAGATTTTCAACACACATTATACACATACGAACTGGCCAAGAAAAACTCTTTTTCTTTCTTGGGCCAGTTCGTTTGTATATAATGCGTGGTGGAATTCTCCAAGTGAATTCATTTTTGAATTTCTTGTAAGAAAAACTGGCAGTTTACAAGAAGTTGAGTCTCCAGTACTCGATATGAGTTTCGATTTTGCGGAAAATTCGCTCATGCCATACGACTTAGGATGAAGAATGTCGTTCGAATTTACGCTGGCTGGTTGTTTAGTTGAAAGTAATTTTTCGAGTAAGTTCCGTTTAATCCAATTTTGTAATCGGTTTCGTTTTTTGATGAGACAGTTAATAATTATCGTTAGTCGAAATAGATTTCCCCAATATCTGGTGATGATATCCTTTTTGACGACGTAGTTCGAAAGGAGAAGCGTAACGGGTCGTAATGGTGAGATCGAGCATCTACCAGAGAAGGAGATGGAGAAACTGTAGTCTCGGAAGAAAATTTTCCGCTTAATCCACTCACATCATTATAAAAGTGCAAGTTGATATTGCGCATTTTTGCTACCAATAAAAAACTTTTTCGAACGACTTAGGATGAAGCATGTCGTCCAAAAGTACGCTGGTTGGTTGTTCAGTTTAAAGGAATTTTTCGCGGTAAGTTCCTTTTAATCCAATTTGTAATCGGTTTCGTTTCTTGATGAGACTATTAATAATTATCGTTGGTTAAAATAGATCAACCTTAAGGACGAGAAAATTCTATAAAAACCAATGAATCATAATCATTTTTGACAAACATAAATAAAGTGAATTATATAATGTATGATTATTTACCTTTAAACTTACTGTACTTCAGATCATAAAAAAATGTTTATTTATTTTTTTAAATTTACTATTTTTAATTTCGTTTGTTCAACTTCAGTTCTTGCATAGTATATTTAATAATTGGATTCAAGAATAATTTAATTGATTTTTTTTTTTTTTTTTTGGTGATAAAAAAAAATATTTTCTACCGTTATATCTGATATCACCGGTCACGTGAAGTGAAATTTTTACTTGGAAACTTTCTGACAGTCAAATACAAAAAAAGCCTCAAAGTTGCACATACATTCTAATATATAATAAACAAAACATAAAAAAGATTATTGCAAGTTAGCTAAAAATAGACAAATTCTTCACGGCTTTTGCTATGTCTCAAATTATCCAATCTATAATTTATTCAATCTATTAAAATGAACTCCTATAATTTATAAAAAACTTGTAATTTTAACAAAAAAGGAATATTTTTTTAAAAATACAAACAAAATCCATTATTTCATGGATTCAAATTCAAAACGTTTGGGTTAAAGCATCCAAATAAGACTATTC